GGAATGCCTTCTCGAACTCTTTCTCCTGTAGCTCGTCTCTGTTGATGTACACGGTTCCAACTCCATATAGGTGATCTAGAGCCACCCAAACCAAGTACTTGTCATTCTCCTTGTTCTGAATGGTCAAATTCTTCCACGAGTGTCTGAATTCCACAGCTCGCTGGGTGAGATTTGAGACTGCCGTCATGGCTGCTTTCAAAGGTTCGGATTGCAATTTGTCAAAGCTGCCGATACAGGGTTCTAACTTGATGCATCCGTTCACATTCTGTACGTTGCCCGGTGCAGATTGCCATGATTGCATGGCGTCTTGTGTCGGCCATTCCTGGATATGCAATCCCTTTCCTGTGATCTCCTGCTTGTACCATTGCAAGATACTCTGACGATGCATTGCTTCCTTCACATCAACCAGAGTGAAAGGAGACAAATATCTTCCTTTTGTGTGGTTGTACGTGCAGGCTTTGATCTGAGAGTCGGACAGACCAGCTTCCTTAGCGATCCATTGAAAGATTGTTTCCCGGTGTGATTGGAGAAGCGTCTGACTGGTTGCCTCCGAATATTTCCAGAAATTCTTCAGCAGGAGTTTCGTAGAGCTTTCCGATCTTTGACGGTCTACCTGGGTGTACAAGAGGTGTGCCAACTGGTTACGCTGACCTCGGACATCTTCTTTGACATCCTTCACGGCGTCCACGATGTCTTTTATTGCCGCATGAGCTTCCATACGATCATCTTCGAATTTCAACTCGTGTGGTTGAACTTCCTTCTCTTCACTTTTTCCACGTTTGCTTTGAGCAGGTGTTTCCACGGCTCCTGGTGATCTTGCATCTTGTGGCCTTTTGTGCCATTGTCTATTCCCCCCGTCACGGGGGGCTTCCGCCATCAGGTGAAGAACCACTCCGAAATTACTTCGGCTCTAATCTAAAATTCACACACTTTTGAACCTCATGGCTATCCGAACTTGGCAGTGCTCCCATGGCGTATCCGACCCCTTGGCAGTGCACATTGTCCCACGCCTGCCACGCAAAAGAGGCGGAGCCCGAGGGACGCCAGGGCGTACATCCGACCCCTTGGCAGTGCACATTGTCCCACGCCTGCCACGCAAAAAAGGCGGAGCCCGAGGGACGCCAGGGCGTACATCCGACCCCTTGGCAGTGCACATTGTCCCACGCCTGCCACGCAAAAGAGGCGGAGCCCGAGGGACGCCAGGGCGTACATCCGACCCCTTGGCAGTGCACATTGTCCCACGCCTGCCACGCAAAAGAGGCGGAGCGAGGGACGCCAGGGCGTACATCCGACCCCTTGGCAGTGCACATTGTCCCACGCCTGCCACGTGCACATTGTCCCACGCCTGCCACGCGGAGCCCGAGGGACGCCAGGGCGTACGCCGAGCAGTGCGTCCCACGCATCCGACGCCCCTTGGCAGTGCACATTGTCCCACGCCTGCCACGCAAATTGTCCCACGAGCCACGCAAAAGAGAGCCCGAGGGACGCCAGGGCGTACATCCGACCCCTTGGCAGTGCACATTGTCCCACGCCTGCCACGCAAAAGAGGCGGAGCCCGAGGGACGCCAGGGCGTACATCCGACCCCTTGGCAGTGCACATTGTCCCACGCCTGCCACGCAAAAGAGGCGGAGCCCGAGGGACGCCAGGGCGTACATCCGACCCCTTGGCAGTGCACATTGTCCCACGCCTGCCACGCAAAAGACGCGGAGCCCGAGGGACGCCAGGGCGTACATCCGACCCCTTGGCAGTGCACATTGTCCCACGCCTGCCACGCAAAAGAGGCGGAGCCCGAGGGACGCCAGGGCGTACATACGACCCCTTGGCAGTGCACATTGTCCCACGCCTGCCACGCAAAAGAGGCGGAGCCCGAGGGACGCCAGGGCGTACATCCGACCCCTTGGCACTGCACATTGTCCCACGCCTGCCACGCAAAAGACGCGGAGCCCGAGGGACGCCAGGGCGTACATCCGACCCCTTGGCAGTGCACATTGTCTCACGCCTGCCACGCAAAAGAGGCGGAGGCCGAGGGACGCCAGGGCGTACATCGACCCGTTGGGAGTGCACATTGTCTCATGCCTGCCACGCAAAAGAGGCGGAGGCCGAGGGACGCCAGGGCGCAGTGCACATTGTCCCACGCTTGCCATGCAAAAGACGCGGGGCCCGAGGGACGCCAGGGCGTACATCCGACCCCTTGGCAGTGCACATTGTCCCACGCCTGCCACGCAAAAGAGGGAGCCAGAGGGACGCCAGGGCGTACATCCGACCCCTTGGCAGTGCACATTGTCCCACGGCTGCCACGCAGAGAGGTGGGTGAGTGAGTAAGTGAGTGGGTGAGTGAGTGAGTGGGTGAGTGAGTGAGTGAGTGGGTGGGTGGGTGAGTGAGTGAGTGAGTGCGTGCGCGCGTGTGTGTGTGTGTATGTGTGAGGTGAGGAGGAGGAGGAGGAGGAGGAGGATACAGAACTAAAAACAAAAACCCCACACGTCAATGTGGGGAACAATTCTGCGAGACTTCCTCAAATTTTGAACTTGACAACGTCAAAAACAAAACAAGTCTGCGAGACTTCCTCAAATTTTGAACTTGACAACGTCAAAAACAAAACAATTCTGCGAGACCTCCTTCAAATATGGAAAGTTGAGTGCAGAGCTGACAGCCTCGTACCAATGCGTTTTGCGATTTTTCCTCTCCACCTGTCTAAAGTATGGCGCCTGCCACGAAAAAGTGATGCCAGGTCATACAAAGTGCTGCACCTGTCACGCAAAATCATCTTCCCAAAACTGAAGATCTGATGTTCCAAAATGCAACCCCTCTCAGGAAATCAGCGCCGGGACCTCCTAACAGCTCTGATGAACATGTCTCTAGTACTGCGCCTGCCACGCGAAATGCATTTTGCCAGATCCTCTGCATATGTCCCATGCCTGCCAGCGTTTTTGAAATTGCTACAAACCCCTCACGTTTTGCTCACTTTTGACAAGGTGCGCAATCCCTTGCGCCTGCCACGCGAAACGACATCTGAACGTCCAAAAGTGTTCCGAAACCATCACTTTCCTTTACACTTTTGACTTTGAAGTGTGCTTCGCGCCACAACGGCGTGCACTTTTTCGACATCTCAACTTCCAAAAGTGGTCCGAACCTGGTGTGTTTTGCACATTTTGACTTCGAAATGTGCTTCGCGCCACAACGGCGTGCACTTTTTCGACATCGCAACTTCTGAAAGTGCTCCGGAGCTGAGGTGTTTTGTACATTTTGACTTCGACACGTGCTTCGCGCCACAACAGCGTGCACTTTTTCGACATCTCAACTTCCAAAAGTGGTCCGAACCTGGTGTGTTTTGCACATTTTGACTTCGAAATGTGCTTCGCGCCACAACGGCGTGCACTTTTTCGACATCGCAACTTCTGAAAGTGCTCCGGAGCTGAGGTGTTTTGTACATTTTGACTTCGACACGTGCTTCGCGCCACAACAGCGTGCACTTTTTCGACATCTCAACTTCCAAAAGTGGTCCGGTGCTGAGGTGTTTTGTACAGTTTGACTGGGAAATCTGCTTCGTGCTACAACGGCGTGCAATTTTTCATCTCTCATCTGGCCAGCTGGCTCCGCACCCGCCGCTTTAGCAAGCCTACTTTTCGACCCTCTGGAGCCACAAATCATTGGAAAAACACAGTGTTTCGCGACTTTCCTACCTTTTCGCGCACCTGGATCTTCTTTCCTCGGAGACTTTCTCTTTTTGATATTCTTTCATATTCTTTCTTCTTCTCTTCTCTTCTCTTCTCTTCTCTTCTCTTCTCTTCCCTTCTCGGACTCTTCCCATCTCTGCTTTTGATCTGTCCATATTGTCGGAAGTTTGACTTCTAAACTTCCTTCGATAAATATCTATCTACAGTATCATATATGTGATAAATGATATATATATATATATACAAAATATCTTTGTATTTGTATGATGTATATATGTAGTATATCATATTTGATAAATTTGTGATTTTTTTGATATTTACGATATGTATTTGATATATATATATATATGGTGTATTTGGTATTTATGATTTAAATGATATATATATATGTGTATATCAGCGAGATTATATATACATATCTCTATATATATAGATTCGATGATATATATATACACACATTTGAGCATATATATATATATTTACATGTACATTCATATATGTATGTTTATTTAGATATATAGGAGTATATATAGATATTTTATTTTTGAGTGTATTTTTTTGTGTAATACATTAACAAATGCATACATCAACGTATATTCACATATACAAGTGTGTGTATGTTGTGTATATATAGATATATATGTATATTTACACACATACAGTATGCATGGTATGGTATGGAACCGACTGGAATGGATTGGACTAGGTCGGAATGGACTGGAACGAAATGCAATGGATTACCTAGGTAGGTAGGTAGGTAGGTAGGTATGTATGTATGTATGTATGTGTTTGTATGTGTGCGTATGTGTATGTGTGTATATGTGTATGTGTGTATGTTTGTATGTGTGTATGTGTATATGTGTATGTGTGTATGTTTGTATGTAGGTACGTAGGCAGGTACGTAGGTAGGTAGGCAGGCAGGCAGGCAGGCAGGTAGGTAGGTAGGTAATGATGTATGTAGGTAGGTATGTATGTATGTATGTAGGTAGGTAGGTAGGTATGTATGTGTGCGTATGTGTATGTGTATATGTGTATGTGTATGTTTGTATGTGTGTGTGTATGTGTATATGTGTATATGTGTATGTGTGTATGTTTGTATGTGTGTATGATTGTATGTGTGTATGTGTGTATGTGTATTTGTGTATGTATGTACGCATGTATGCATGCATGCATGGTACGCATGATTTGATAGATTGTGTGTATATATATATATACACATATGTGTATTTTTAAATATGCACATTGGAACTCGCCACATATACAAACACATACACAGATAGAGTACGTACTGTATGTATAATTGCATAGACAATTCCGGAGTGAGGCCTTGAAAAACTGATTGCTATTGGGCGGAGAAATGTCAGCGAGGAGGTCAGACCCTCAGCTGGTGAGCGGAAAAACACTGAAGCGAGACGAAGGCAAAGAGATCAGAGTTTCTCAGAAGATTTCACTGGCTGCACATAGGGAACACATGAAATGAACTTTACTTCAGAGGATCTGTGCATGGCAAGCCGAAGGAGTCTTAAATGCCACAAATGTGTCTGCATGGAAAGATAACGAAATTTCAAACATGAAGTAAGCATGAGGAAGTAAGCTGATTCTGGCTAGGCACAATCGAGCTGGTCTCGGTCTCTGGTCCCCTTTAATACAAAGCAGGAACGTCACCGCAAATGCCAGAACAGTATGAAACTTTGAACGCACTTTCCTTTGAATCCGAAGGCTTTGGCAGCTATGGGCCTGGCGCTCTGCGCTGTTATTTCAGATCCATTGGCGCCGCAAGGTCCAGCTGTGGCACGTGGCGGTACTGGGTCTGACCAAGCATCAAAACGTCAAAACCCAAAACAATGCTGCGGATTGAGGTTTTGAAGTATGTTTACTACAGGAAAACACTTCAAAGTACAGAAGTTACACCGAAGAACACAGAACCCACAGACCTGTGCGCAGCTCAACCTTCTGCATGTCCAGGAGAAATCGCCGCTTCGCGAGCAGCTGAACTATTGCGCCGTTTGCTCCAGATGGCCGGCGCAAAATTCACGTTCACCCTGAGATGCTTCTGAATTTCGAAAGAAAAACTGAAAAGAGGATAGACAAAATATAAATAAAACCTGCAAACCAGTTTGAAGGATTTTGAAGGATTTTGAAGGAAACCACACATGAGAAACCTGCCTTGAAGGCCGGAGACGAAGAGGCAAGTGACAAAGCTGGTGAAGTTACAGATGCCGCAGATGCTGAGGCGAAAAAGTGTTTTGCTGACTTTGGGAGGGATGACCTTGCCATTGCCCTTTTGCCTTGTCAAAGTTGTACGCAGAGATCAGAGATTTTGGAGAGCAAGGCCCCTCCCTTTTCTGGGTGGCGAGACTGCCTTCCGTCCGGGCACTAGCCTTTTCAACTTGGTTGTTATATGATATGTGGTTATGATGCAAACCTTTAGATGATTCCCCTCCTCATTCCTCAACAGTGCATGCACTGCAATATTCTCCCACATCGCTTAGTTTGAAACTGCATGGCAGTGTACACAAACAAGACAAACAAGTCTTAATGCTCTTGTGATCCGAGTCCCTTTTCGGTTTGGTACTACAGAAGATAGCGTTGTGTTCTCTCCTACCAGCACGAAGGCCCAAAAGAGGTCAACTCTCAAGGCACAGCTTGTTCCAGAACCCCAAAGGTCCTGAAAGGCCAACATGCCCTCAGCAGTCAGTTTAAATTCAAAATTTGTTGATTTGGAGTCTACAATGAAGTGTTGAAAATCGACACAGCGTCCAAAGCTCTGATTTTGAAATTGCTTCGGAATGAGTTTGATATTCCAATATATTCAGCGGTCACCCCAAAGGCTGAGCCCACCAAGGCTTCTTCATCCATTTTCAATAGTTCCCAACCAGACATGCACTAGCACACTCCCTGCAAAGAAGAAAGAACACATCCGAAAGCCAAAGCAAAAACTGGATCAAGTTGATCAGGATGCCAAAACTGCACCCGGACATTTCCCACATTCAGGGCCCTAAAGTAAAAGTAACCATCTCGAACAGCTCAGCACCCAAAAGTGACGGACCAACTCTCGGAGAAGCCCTGCGCATACACTTCCAGCATTTGGGTCTCTGGATCCGGAACAGCAGAATCGCCCAAACCTTCCGAACAGCAATCAGGGCCTCGAACCCGCTTTCATTCCTTGACTTTCTCCAGATTAGCGCGAAGCAACAAAAAAAGTTCCTGCGTTACCCAGGAAGATTTGTGTATATTGGGGGGATCCTTTTTTCTGGATTTTCTGGTGTACTTGTACAGCTGGCGTGTACAGTCATGAAACTTCTCACTACAAAATATTACAAATAGTATCAAGTAGTATATGCTGCTCCGTGCATCTGCCAGCAACAGGACGGTGCAGCATCGCTTGCGCGGAAGCGAGTGCTGGCAGTGCCATTCTTGGTCTGTCGATTTCATATTAAATATATATATAATATATATATATATATATCTATATATATCATTGCTTTATTGTTACAGGAGCTACAGCTCCAAACCACATTGTTTTGCATTTTCAGGCTGAACGCGATGGAGAGCAGCGGTGTGGTGTTGTTTGGTACGCCTGAAGCTGCTCAAGTTCATGCAGCATTTCAACAACTTGGATTATTTTGAATTCAGGACACAATGATACACAAAGCGTTTGTTGCTCTGAGTGCATCGTGAGGCTTGCAACTCTCATGCGACGGTCTGTGTCTCAGGCCGTTTCAAGCAGATTTGTGGCATCATTTGCTTTCGGTCGTTTCTCCAAACCATTCTTCTTGCTTTCTGGCCGAGGATGTCCCAACAGCAATTGCCTTTGCCTGCGGATTTGGTTACATCATTGAGCAGAATCCTTTGCACCCAAGTTGGCATATACATGGAATTGATTATGCAGCAGGTTGCCTGAGATTTTTGGTCCTGCTTATGCAGTCCCAGATATGCATGCACTCATTTGATCACCGTCTCCGTCTTCATGTTCATTGTCATATTGTCATTCTATCCGCTTTGCTCATACAAGGTCGCGCTTTTGTGCGTTCATTTAGCGGACTTTCCATGTTCGTAGCTGTCCTCACCCCAGACTTCACCATCGGACCGTGGACAAGACCCCAAAGCTCAGTTGGGCCACGATCGGGACCGTCAAGAGCGAGAGGTTCAGGTATAGTGGATAGATGCAGAGTGTCTCATTAGTCCGCTGCATTTGGTCATGTTTTCTAAGGATTGCAGCCTCAAGTCTTTGTGCAACCTCTACAGGACACTACTGAACAGTTTTCCCATCCCTTTCCTAGAAGTGCAACTTGCTTGAAACTTTGCCTTTCGCTTTAAGATCTATAGTAATATAGTACATTTTTGACATTTGAGCTGCGCTTCTAAACTCTACAGTGCACCAGGCTTGTGACAGCTGAAACCAGGGGTGAGTTTCTCAAGGCCGGTGTTGAAATCTGCCTTTGAATCCATGAGATGTCATTGTAGCGAAACAGTCCAGGGGTCTTCTAGGCTCAATGCAGCACATCCAACAGTTTCAGATCTTGTAGCTGCTTCCTTTTCATAATTGGGGGTCAGGTCGTCCTCTTGTATTTTTTTCTATGACTGAATGTGACCTTCTCCGATCATCAACGTTGGCTTTTGCGCCCAATTAGTGGGGCTTACTTGTCATGTCTTACGAAGCAGAAAGATCATGCACCGAGTAGTGGAACCTTCAAGCAGAAAAGGAACGCATTTTCAAACCTTTGAAGGTCATCCCAATCTCGCACATGGGACACCTTAGTCGTCAGCTGCTGCATTCTGTAGGTTAGCCATGCTTTCTGACATTCAGGTTTTGTATGAAGAAAATATACCTCTAGATAGGTGGCCTAGGTGGTTCAACTATAAAACTGCACTTGCTGATAGTTCTATTGTCTGAATGATTCTTGCAGGAATTGAATGCTCCGAATGCTAGGCCCTTTTTTCTTCCATCTCCAACCGTACTGTGGCGCAGGACTCAGGTCTGCCAGTCGCCACACAGGGGGATAAGTGTATGGATTGATTGGACGAAGGATTATATTGCTGAGCGCAACACTGCGACAAATTAGCAGATGGGGAGGGCGACTTATAGGGGCAGGATTGCTTGATGTAGAGGAGTGTCAGAATTAAAGGAAACAGATATACGGAAAGTGAGAGGAATACATGAAGACTCGTGCAAAATGAAGATGTGCAAGCTGCCTTGAAAATCTATTTCAGGTCAGCAACATGTTTGTTGGCACGCCCGACACACAGGTGTCGATCGTGCATGACCGAACTGCTTCCATCAACCGTTTTGATCACTAATCCTGCCATTTCATCGCCCTGAAGTCGGTTGTCTGTGGAACACTAAAAGCTTCTTCGAATTCTTGTGTGTAATTAGATATATACGTATGTATACACATACGCAGTATATATATACATACACAGTATATATATATACATACATACACAGTATATATATATTATGCACAGTATATATACATATATATATATACACATACACAGCATATATATACACATACATACACATACACAGTATATATATAGTTATATATATATATGCACAGTCAGTATAGATATACACACACATATATATATACAGTATATATATATACATACATACACAGTGTATATATATACAGTATATATATACATACACAAACAGTATGTATATATATATATAAATACAGTTATATGTATATATATATGTGCTGCAGCATTTGGTTGACACCTCCTGTATTCTTGCGCAGACAGGCGAGGAAAGAGGAGAAAGACAGCAAGGAAACAGGCTGCTGAAGTCTCAGTGGAATTGCTCTGGGGCCTTGACACAGCTCACATCCGCAAGGCGGGCCAAACTCCTGGAAGATAGCCGCCAAGGAGTGATGTTTGCACCGCTTTTCACCTTAATCTTCCTTTCAAGATTGCCTAAGACTGCTTCAGTGTTACAATGAGTTGCGATGCTCCACCATGCCAAGCGCAAGTGAACTTCCGTTCTGGTCACGCAGTCCAGGAGCGAGTTGACCTAGTCAAGGACAAGTGCTGGAAGAGTCAAGTTCCGTTTGACCATGCACTGGTCTGACACAGTCCATCCAGTCAAGGACCTCATGTTTCTTGCAAGGGAGCTTCAGCATCCGCAGCTGCGTCGCATTGGATCGGTTCAATTGGTTCCTGCTTCTTTTTCTGTAGCATTAAGTCTTCTTCAGTCAAGCTTTGTTCATCATACATATACTACATATACATACTATTACTATGTTTGCTGTGCCTCTTTGCCTCTCTGCCTCACTCTCTCTCTCTCTCTCTCTCTGTGGTTTGGTGATGCGCTAAAAGTTCTCCAAGGGCGCTCTTTATCGGGCTGCTGGATCAACCTTCCGGATCTGTCGGGGCTTGAGACGGCAGAGACGGGAAATTGTGCAAGAGAGTGTTGGAACATTAGGGATAACGACTCCGAAAGAGTTCAAAAAACAGACATTATATTTCTCAGAGTCCAAAACGATGCTGAGAAGGTAAGAAGAAGATAAGAAGAAGATAAGAAGTCTGTGAAATTTCGTGCTCAGGTTTGGACTGGTGAAATCATGCGGGAAGCTCTGGACCTTCAGGCTGGGTTCCTTGCGAGATTGTGCTGCAAGATGGATACAGTATGATACAGTACATGTAGAAAGCAAACGCACACGCTTGTTGTCGAATTTGGCGATTTTGAAGGGCAGAGGAGCACAGGTTCAAAATGATTTCAACATTTGAGCAGTGACCAAAATCCTTCTCGAGTAACTCTAAAGGGTTATACCGTATACCATGGACTGGTTTATTTGGGGTCATTGTGACCAATGATGGGAACCCGTATTTGCAAACCAGTACATAAAAAGGGATGCCAAAGGGTTTCAATCACCGCTCATTTGTTTTGATATGAAAGTCACTGCAAGGAAGTTATAAGAAATGGGCCACACCTTCCCAACTTCGACCAAAGCAGTGAAGCGAACTGTCAAGGAGACAGGAACACCTGGAATATGCTAAAGCCGGTTGCAGTGCGTATTTGCACCTCATCTCTGAGGCCCCATGTCTTGGAGAGCTTGAAAGCACAGTTTGCCCTGTGTCCCTGCGCCCGAAGCCAGAAGCTAAAGCTGCCAAGGCTGCAGAGGTTGTTCCTGAGGTTGTTAAGGCTTCGGCTGATCGGCTTCCGTCAAGCTGTGCAGTACGTTGGATGTGCTTTTTTTGATGCCCACTTTGTCCAGCTAAGGTTGTACACTTATCTTTTTCATCCAAATGCGCAGCTGCGGCAGGCA